AAGAGCGGGAGCTTCCTGTGTGTGTGGCTCCACCTCCTGCAGTAGCCATTTTATCACTGGCTCCACCTTCTATGGCAGCGATTTTATTTATTTATTTATAGAGTTAACTTTTAGACTGCCCTTCCCTGTGTACACAAGGCTTAGGGTGGTTTTGTAGGTGTGTCCATCATCCTTTGTCAGAATTCCAAAGATGCCCACATATGTAAAAAGGCTGGGGACCCCTGGAACAGAACACAGCAGAGCAATCTCTACTTGTATTAAAACAGCATGGATTCTGCCATAGCAATATTGCAACCTGTTTAGTTTGCAAAAGATGTATTATTGTAATTATCATCACCTGTTTAGTTTAGTTTAGTATTGTAATTAACATCACCTGTTTAGTTTGCAAAAGATGTATTATTGTAATTATCATCATTCCTTACCAGCCTTTTGGAGTAGTTTTATAGTGTTAACAAGACATGGACAAAGGTGATCTGGGAAACACTGCATTCTTGGACTTCCAAAAAAGTATTTGATAAACTCTCTCCTGAAAGGCTCCTGAGTCATATGATAAGAGGATGGATCCTTCTGTGGATGAGCAACTGGTCAAAAATAGGAAGCAAGTGCTATTTAATTTGTGTACAAATGACACGGAATTGTGGTAGAGCAGAGAAGCAGCTGTGCTTGCAGATGATACCTCTTATTCAGGATGGTGAAAACCAAAGTGGCCTAAGAGTTCCAATGGGATCTCTTCATACTAGGTGAGTGGGCAACAGCCTGGAAAATGAGGTTCAGTGTAAGGAAGTTCCAGGTGAAATAAGCTGGGGCAGAAATATCTAATGGTAGTGTCTGGTTTAGATGTTGGGTTACACAGACCTTTGGTCTGATCCAGCAGGGTGCTTCTGTTCATAAAATAGATAACTGCAGAACATGATGTGTAACCAAAGATGTCTCAGAGACCTGTTTAGTTTGCAAAAGATGTATTATTGTAATTATCATCATCATTATTTTATATCTTTAATCCTTTCATTTACAGTATTGTACATCTGGTTTAAAATATGAAAATACTCTGCCCTTCTGAAAGATAGCTATTCCCTCCACTAGCCTTCCCACTTTGTTACATGTACACAATGGATATAAGCTCAACTTTTGTTGCATACCTCCCCCTCCCCCACCCAGTTATTTGTACATTCAGAACCAGAATGAAAGTGTTTCCTAAGCAGCGAGCGCCTTAATTATTATTAATAACAAGTTAGAACAACGTAAATAAATGATCATCATTAACAGTATCTAAATGAAACGCGTGCCAAAGAAATCTATCCAGGGCCCCTCCTGTGCTTCTGGTCACCATAGCCCCTCATTCTTATTGGCCTTTCTTGTAGGCGTTTTTGGTTATGGCATTCTTAAAAAGAGTCACTAGGGGTGTATGGCTGCGTTCTGAGGTCATAAAGCCACCGTAGCGTTTGTCCTTAGGCGGGGCGTTCCACCGGAAGTGACGCATCTTGTATGAAGCGCCGTCTTTCTTCACTTCTTCTGGCAGGTCCTCCTTCTCCTCTTCGGACATCACGGCTTCAGAACTCTTCTTTTCCTCATGGGAGTCAAATTCGGGGTAGTCCACTTCCAAGGAAAGTTCTCGTCTGAACTCCTGGGGATAGCTCTCTGCGGATTCCTCCTCCACTCCATTTGGGTATACCCTCACAGGTCGCCTCTTCCGGCCCACGGGCTTCCCCCATCGGAAGTGCTCCATGGCGTAGGATCGCTTGTTTTCTTGCCTTTCCAGGTCTTGGTGGCCTTCATTGTCTCCTCCCCAATTGCTCCGGGCTTGTGAAGGAAACGGAAAGAGGTCCAGGATGGGGTCTCTGGAGAGCTCCTCTCTCTTATGGCCCAAGTCACCGCCACTGCTGTTGCTTTTGCCAAACTTGTTCCAGCGGAAATGGCTCATGACATACTTCCGAATATTCTCAGACAGAGGCTGCATGTGGCCGTTGCCGGGATAGACTGGTGACTCAGCCGAGAGATCCACCCTGCAGGCTCTGAGGCACTCCTGCATCAGGGAAAGGGCAGGGTAGGGAGGAGTTACAAAGAGACATCCAAGAACCACAGCCCTCAACAGCATGCAAGCTAGGGTTGCCAACTACAGGTTGGGAAATTTGTGGAAATTTGGGGGGGGGAGTCTGGGAAGGGTGGGGGAGGAGTTTTGCAGGGATGCAATGCCACAGAGTCTACCCTCTGAAGCTACCAGTGGCTCTGGAGATCAGTTGCAATTCTGAGAGAACTCCAGGCCCCACCTAATCCAAGCAGACCTGCTGACTCCAGGCCGAGATGATTTTGCTCTTCCCACCGCCCCCGCATTCAGAATTCTCAGTTGGTGCTTACTATTAAGGTAAGCTTTCCAAAAGAGATCATCTCATCTCATCTCCAAGGTTTGCAAAGCCTCAGCTCAATTACAGGTAAAGCAAGGGCCTAAGCTATAAGGCACTGAGAGAGCCACCATCGCCTGACCCTTCCTGGCACTAAAGAGGCCAGGTTGACAACAACTAGGTCTAGAGCATTTTCTCTAGCTGCACCAGCATATTGGAACGAGCTCCCTAGTGAGATCCAGGCCCTGCGAGAGATCTCCAGCAATTTCGCAGGGCCGTGAAGACGGAGCTTTTCCGCCGGGCATATCAGTGAGAGTGACGGTATGCCAGCCAAGCCTCGCCGACCCGCCAAGGCATGTGCTCTGTATAGGTAGATAACAATGGGGTCGATGTTTAGTGGTAATGGTATCCCGAGCCGCTTTTATTCATATTTATTGTATTTATGTTAAGTTGTTTTATGGATTGATTGTTTTATGTATATTGGTTTTATTAATGCTGTGAGCCACCCTGAACCGCTTTGGCGGAAGGGCGGGATAAAAGCCAAATAAATAAATAAATAAATATCATTCTAGTCCTGTTTCTCAGCGAGGCAGAGCCACAGAGGTATAAAGCTGAGTAGGTTCTTTGATACACTCGGTTTGCAATGGACCTAACATGGACCTGTTTGCAATGGACCTATGTGAATTTAGAGTCCACACTTGTCCCAGAATTCTCACTAAAAATAGATGTTCTGGAACAAAAATGCAGAGGGTTAGAGAATGGATTGTAGGTCAGTAGTAGAGTACCTGCTCCAGGATGATCCACTCACATTATCAGTGGAAAGGTTTCAAGTTGCAAGTGGACAGACCTTTATCTCAGACCTTGGAGAGCTGCTACCAGCCACAGTGGACAATACCTGGCTTCTGACTAACAGACTGACCCTTCCCTACAGCAGCTGTGTATGTCCAGGCAGACAGTAGAGTTTCCTGCATGGCAGATGTTTGCAAAATATGAAATACCATTAACCCACTCCCAGACCAAATTTCCCAGAGAACTGAGGAGCAGGAGAAAAAAATGGCCTTAATATTTCCCCAAGTTTCTGTGGTAAAGACAATAGAGACTAGGGGAAACAAAACCCACAAATGACATCACATCCTCCCCAAACTCTGCCCTCCACAGGGTCCACCCCCAAAATCTTCCAGCATTTGCCAAGGCAGTGTTGGGAACCCTGATATCATTTGGAGTTGGCTATCATTAGTGTTGAATACTAATGCCCATCAGCTATCACATATTGTCTGATATCAAATATTTAGATATCATTGGGTGCCAACATGGATAGCAACCAGAGTGATGATTCCCAACATGGGACTAGGGATGGGCACAAACTGGGAAAATGTGGTTATGGTTCATGGCATGTCCCATTCGCAAACCATGAAAAGGTTCAGTTTGTGAACTTCATGAAGTGGTAGAACAGAACCCCCCCCCTCCCCGGAATGCTAGAATCATTAAACCTGAATCTCTAGCTGACTCTCCTATATCTGACCAAGTCTGGTAAGGATTGAATTTATGGGATCTGAGTTATGCTCCCCCAAAGAAAGTGCCCCCAGGACAGTACTTTCTGGGGAAATGACTGCCTGTAGTTTCCCCAGAAAGCACTTTCCTGGGGGCACCTTCTTTGGGGGGCTGTAACTCAGACCCTGTAAATCCAATCCTCACCAAACTTGGAGGGCAGGTAGAGGAGAGTCGGCTGGAGTTCCCCTGTGAGATTGGTGGCTCTAGTTTGCACAGGATCTATTCTATACACTCCTGAACCTGTGCCTGCCAAAATGACAGATGGCTATTTTCCCAGGTACAGGTTCAGGAGTGTATAGAATGGATCCTGTGCAAGCTAGAGATATCAAAGTCATAGGGGACCTCCCCTGGACACTCCTGTACATGCCTTCCAAGTTGTTGCTTTGAAATCCTGTAGTCAAGTCAAATGTTTAATATGGTCAAAGACCCATCAAATAACCACCAATCTTGTAAACTTTTGCTTGAGTGGAGACACTCTGTCTGGAAATGTATCCACTCGTGCACATGCACGAACTTCCACGAACAGATTGAAAGTTTGTGGAAAGTTCATGCTGGTTGGCCCACCACGAACTTGACTTGATGAACCATGAACCAGCCAAAATTTGTCACAAACTTTAGTTCATTAACCAGGTTCTGCCCATCCCTACATGGGATTCTGGGGCACTAATGCATCTGCTACTGTGTTTCCTGGAACTTGATTGCTTTTGAGATTTAGGGATAAAAACCAAAAGATCTTGAATGGAACAGACATAAAACCAGGGAGCTTCTAGTCACTGTCTAACAGCTGACTTGCTAGCAAGGTGCTGAGCTCATGCCTGGCCAGTACATCACAGCCATGCACCCTCAGTTTGGACATAGACAGAGACTTTGTTATGAGGATTCGTATGTAAGCAAGTGGTCAAAGTTAATCAACAGAAAAATTATCTCACTGTCTCTCTCCTGATGCAAGCTTTTAGATTGTTGTGTCAGTGCCCATTAGACATGGGACAGCAAATCTTGTGTTCTCTAGCAAACAGATTTTGCTCTCCTGTGTCCCATGGTGTCCTGCCAGACTATGGTACTGCAGCTGCCTATTTATCTGATCTAGAATCACTTCATGATTGCGGAGCCTTTATGCTTGCCCATTTTAATATCCTTCCATCAGCCATTCTATTTAGTAGACACTCAGGAACCCCTTTTAATGAAGGGTATCACCCTTGTAGGGCTGGGGTTCCCGAATAATTAGCTTACATAGTTCTTTACTGTAATTTTTATTTGGAGCCAAGGAATGCAATTATTAGACCTCTTCTGCATAATGTTCACAGTCTCCCAGAAGAGCAGCTAGTAGTGTACCTCTTGTTGGATAAAAATCCCTATATCACCTTCCAGGTGGCTAAATATTTTGCTAGCTGCAATAAGGATCCGCGAACAGTTTATGTATGCTTTTGGATAATTTTATCTTAACTTTTATGTCACTTTGTTTTATGTAATTTTATTTTGCGTAATGTAAAATCTTTTTTAAATGTCTCTTTGGTTCTGGTGAGACAAATGCCTAATAAAGGTGATGAATGAAAAAGATCATTATAACACTGAGATCTAGCAACAGCTGATTTTTTTAATGCCAGAAAAAGCCCTCTAGGGACATGGGAACATACAGAGACTGTTGAACTAGCCACAAATTATATATATATGACATAAATAAAAAGGGCGTATTTTTTAAAAAAATCCTATTATTGATACAGTCCTACTGTTTATCCTTTTGTCATTGTTGTTCAGTCTCACAACTGAGTCCAACTCTTTGCGACCCCATGGACCGCATCACGCCAGGCCCTCCTGTCCTCTGCCGTCCTCCAGAGCTTGCTCAGCTTCATGCTTGTTGCATCAATAACACTGTCTGACCATCTCATCCTTTGCCGTCCCCCATCTATCCTACTGTTCATCTAAACAGTTATTAGTGACGTTAATGAATCTGTTTCAACTGGAAGCATTTTGGTTCCTGAGGAGTTTTGGAAGGGAAACAAACCACCAATACAAATACGTTTGGAAGGTGTTTGAGTAATTTTGGTGCAAACCAAACTGCATCATTGGCTCAAGTCTGATTGGCATTCAAACAGAGGAATTTTGAATACATTTGACATGAAATTCATGGCATCCCTAGCCCTAGTGACTTCTCCCAGAAAGTAAACCTTGCCACTGAGGCTCAAGATCAAGCTACATGTCAATGAAGCCTTGTCAGTAGATCTGTATGTGCTCCACAATTGGTCCCAATGAAGAGTCCACTTACCAAAAGGCCAGCTTCTGTGTCCATGTCCCTACACCGACCACTCTCCAAGCAATGGCCATGACCTCCTACCACTGAGTAGAAGAGCAGAACTCCCAGAATGGACAAAAGGCTGCTCCACTGAGGATTCAGCATCTTCATGAAGAAGTGGAGCAAGTCTGAGGAAATAGAAAGACGGCAGCCATCTTGAGCACAACAAAGTACAAACCTGATGTAGCAGAATGGCTATGAACTAGAAGTTCCTGGTTAGAATCAGCCATTTAGTGATTTTATTTATCAGGTTTTCCCCCCCACCATTCATCCAAGGAACCCAGCTTGGATAATAATATCAGCTGAAGGAGGGTTAAGGTACTGGTTTGTACCCACCCAAATGGTTCCACAAGCAGATATTCTTCTGCCCGTGGAGTGTGACTTTCTCACCTTCCCCTTATGGCTGTAGCCCATAATGCCCACCACATGCTGTCCTTCAGGGTTCCCTGCAGCTTTTCTGGAAGCATTTCAGGCCATAGCTTTAGGGGGAAGGAGAGAAATTTGCAACTTGTGGACAGAAGAATTTTCACCAGTGGAAACATTTGAATGGATCTAAGTCGACACATGGAAAGCAGAATGAACACTTTAAACAGGTTCCATACGGGTTAAGTATTGCAGAGAGTGACATTTACCAGCCATTTGGATACAATTGTTTTCACTGATCATGAATAATACTATGGTTTCTATTTCCCATTTGTAATAAGGGTAAGGGGAAGCATGGCTACAAGGAAAAAAGTTTGTTTGCTTGAGATTTTTTTCTTTCTCATAATTCCTCGCCAGTGGCAAACAAGCATGAAAGCCAGCATGGTGTAGTGCTTAGGGCAGTGGCGGCGAACCTATGGCACGGGTGCCAGAGGTGGCACTCAGAGCCCTCTGTGTGGGCACGCGTGCCATCGCCCCACCCAGGCCCAGACCATCATTAAAGTGTCGGATTCTCTGCCAAATAATTTTAAGTAAATGAAAGCATTTGGGATTGCTTTCCTTACTTTGTTTGGATCATCTTAAATTAATCTATGAGTTGTTTTTTCTAAAGTAAAACCTCAGTATTCAAGTTAAATTGCCGTGTTGGCACTTTGCAATAAATAAGTGGGTTTTGGGTCGCAGTTTGGGCACTCGGTCTCTAAAAGGTTCGCCATCACTGGGTTAGGGAGTCAGACTAGGGTCTGACAGGAAAGCTTTCCCGGATGACCTGTCCAGTACTCCCAGCAACAGGGTTGTTGTGAGGCTAAATGGAGGAGCGAATAATGGTGTAAGCCATTTTGGGTCCCCATTGGGAAGAAAAGTGGGGAGAAAGAAAGTAAAGACATACTTGCCTTTTGCCCAGTTCAAATCCCCACCTACCCCAGCTAATAAATATTTGTTCCAGGAGAGTAAGTTTCATACCTTATGTTGCCCCCACATGGCAAATAGTTGCTTGGTGGGGCAATTTATCTCAGGACAATGAAGTCAGGGGAAAAGTTAAATCTCATGCCCCCACAGCATAGCTCCAATCAAAGCCAAGTCCAGTAAGTTTGCTTTCAACTATAAAAACAAAATAAAATGGTCTGGATCCAGGAGTAATTTCTACTGACAGATGGAATTTTCATCAGTATGGGTTTGGACTTTCTCCCCTCCCCCTAGTCTGAAACACTCCCTGCAGAGCTACAAGAACAGCATGAGGGAAGAGAGTCAGAGGTCTGCAGTGGAAAGTGGGGGGTTCAGTAACAATCACCCTCCCATCAGTAGTGGAAATTACTGCTGGGTCCAACCCAATGAGATCCAGTCACTGGTTTTCTCAAATCTCATGCAGCTTGGCCTTCAGAAACCATATTACTCCACTGAAATTCATCCTCTACAAAGTGATGCTACATTTCAATTTTGATATCCAGAAAGACGAATTTCCTAGGGATTTCTGTCAACCATCCTGTCATCTCCCCCCTCCAAATTTGCCTCCTCTTTCTGCTCTGGACTAAAGTGTCATTCCCCTGTTATCTGCCAGTCACATACCTGTTAGGGCTGCCATAGTTCTGCCATGGAGCTGAAGTTCTATTTCCACAGGTGTCAAAAGTTGCTTTCTAAAAAACAAGTGCCTTGCCCAAGTACCTTACATTCTTAAATGTAAATCAGAAGTAGGTAGGTGGTAAGAGATACAACAGCTTAGGGAAAATTTATTTCTTGTTGGCTATGTAATTGCTTAGAGGATGTCAAAAGGAAAATACGAAGTATCGCCTTCCTTTCCATCCTAAATTAATGAAACCGCTGTAACCACTGCTTCAGATCTTACATTCACTTCTACAAATATTGATTAGGATAATCACTCTTACCTTAGAGGTCAAATAGGGGGTTTCCAGTGTTTTAGATAAGGACCCTAACTGGGCATACAAAAAGGACACACAAAGTGGTTAAGTAACATCAGGTGCAATCCACCACTTGTGTTCCTTTTCATTTCAACAGGAAATGAGCAGGAGACCTGGACTCCTCTAAAAAAAAAACCCTCTCTGGTGTGTGTGCTTCTTTGTGCCATGAAGTCCAAGTCCTTGCCCTGAGTTCAGATGCTGACCTCCTCAAACATCCCACTTGTCTCTTCCTGTCAGGATCTGTTCCAAGAAAAGATGTCCAGCACCTTCCTAAGGTTTTCCCCTCTACAGTTTGACTTGGATTTATATGCCTGTTCTTTAAATGGATTGCTCTGTGTCCTCGTGAATAACCAAACACCCCTCCTGCCATGTCTAAGGATGTTTGTACACCAGTAGTGCAGTCTTATGCAGAGTTACGCAGATCCAGTGGGCTTGAGATCAGTGGGCTTCGACTGGAGTAACTCTGCATAGGATGGTGTTGCTGGCTTGCATCTACAGTAATCTTTTTTTCCCCTCTTCAAGGTTGAAATATAAAAGATGTTGTCCCCCTTCAAAGCTGAAATGTAAAGTGGGGGGAAATTCACCTGGCAAGGAAAGAAGGTTTAGAGAACAGATAATCTCAGAAGAGCTAAACTGCAATTGAAGAGCGAGAGAGATACAACCTTTCTCTCTTACCTGTTGCCGTAATGTGTGGTCTGTGGTGTTCTCCCTCTCTCTCTTTCTTCCTGTCAGCGTCTGCAAACCTTGAGCTGCCGTCCCGCCTCCTTTTATACCACACGCATGGCTTTCAAACTACAGCAGCCTTCCGGACAGACCTTTTGAAGCAAGCGTAAAAAGGAGGGGGTTCCAGGTGTACACAAAAAGAAGAGATTAGCAACTACTTGCTCAATTGGAGTAGGTGCTGGACAAGGCAATTGGGGTGGGTTGGGGTGGGGGGGATTAGCACCTCAGTGTCAAGAGGCCTGACCACCAAGGCCAATGAAAAACTCTCTTAATTGCTCTAGCAGATGAGGAGACAACAAGGGATTTTTAATTAGGAACCAGACACCTGCGAGCAGAGAAAAAGGCACATCAATTTGTTTTCGTGTATTCGGTTACCCGTGTACCACGTTGCACACAGATGTTCGTCACCACCTGATTTCGTTCCCCGATTATATGGGGAGCATTTCCTATCTTCACTGGGGGAGAAAGAAAACTCCCATAGCGGAGGCCCATCTGGTAACACTTCAGTCACATCAGGACTGGAATTAATGCTGGTTGGTACTACTCTGCCCTGACTCCTAAAGGCTTCTGTGGTGGCACCAGGCCTTTCAGAATTTTAAATTTGAACCCAGCTTTTTAAACGGGTCCTCTCACAAACACCCCAATATTCACCAATACTCTGCTAAAGGCTATTGTGGTGGCCACCACATTCATCATGCTCATCGTTTCCCTTCAGCCCCACAACGGCAATCCTGTTTTCCTCAGGGAATGTTCCATTGTTCTTCCCAATCACTACACTTTAATGAAGGGCCACCCCAGTTTTTGCATACTGAGCCAAAGCTAGAAACTCTAGATCAAGCAAGAGGCCTGTCAGATTTTAAGGGGCAAGAAAAGCATTTCAGCAAGATCCCAAGAGATCTGTGGTTGGATGTCTCTCTTTAAAAAATTAAAATATTAAAGCAGCCTTGGAACCCAATGGTACCTGAACATTTCCTTCCGTTGCAGAAGTTGACGTTTCAAGGACACAGTTCAGATCAAGAAAATAGTTTTTATTTAACTACTTATGCCTCATTTTTTGTCTCCAAAGCAGCTCACAGCATTGTTCTCCTCCATTTTCTCCTCAGCGCAACAATCCTGTGAGGTAGGTTAGGCTGACAGAGAGAGAGAGAGAGAGACTGGGCCAAGGTCACTTGGTGATTTTGCACAGCAGAGTAGGGATCTGAACCTTGGTGTCCCAGCTTTTAGTCCAACATGCTAACCATTATACATGCTGTCCCCATCCTGGACTGCTTCACAAGTCCAATTCTCCAGTCCAGGAGCTCCAGCCACCCACTGCTTCATTTAGCTTGTCCCAAAGGACCAGACTGCACACAACGCTGGAGATCTGTGCCTATAGAGACATCCTCCATGAGTTCCTAAGCTGCTTTTGTGTCTTGTGTCCAAAAATTCAGGCAGCTCCTTCCTCTACCCAAGCTTTCCTTTGTAAAATGTAGTTCAACCTGCAGTCTTATGGTAGAAGCCTCAGCTTCAAAGGCTGCGGGTTGGATCCAACCTGCTTTTCTGCTGGAGGAAAAAGGAAGAGATGGCACCTCATTGATCCCCAGAAAGACTACGCTGGCGGTCATGGGACCTGAATGGGCAACAAGCATGCACAACAAGGCCTGGAGTAAGGAATTAAGTGACAACTAATTAAAAAGTTAGTAGGATCTGACCCAAGCTCTCTGTCTGTCTCTCTTTCGCTCTTTCTCACGCACACACAGACACACATTTTGTGCCACTCAGTTTTCTTATTATTACATTTTTATTCTGCCGTTCCTTCCTCCAAGGACAACACCCATGACTCAACTGGTCACCCTCTCCCATTTTAGGCTCACAACAACCCTGTGAGGTAGGTTGACGCTGAAAGCAACTGGCAAATTCACCCAGTTTGCTTTGTGGCTGAGTAGATCTAAACATAAGAACATAAGAACATAAGAGATGCCAATGTTGGATCAGGCCAAAGGCCCATCCAGTCCAACACTCTGTATCACACAGTGGCCAGAAATACCAGTGCCATCAGGAGGTCCA